CTGGCCTATTGATATGATACATTTTGGCCCCAAACTTTATACCGTCTTTGCATTCCTGCGTAGGTGCTCAAAGCACGTTATTCTTTTTTTTTTTTCTTCTTCTTCTTTTTTTAAAAGATTTTATTTATTTATTGGAGAGAGTGAGAGAGGACGAGCGTGGGGGAGGAGGAGAAAGGGCAGAGGGAGAAGCAGACTCCAAGCTGGGCAGGCAGCCCAACACAGGGCTTGATCCCACGACGCTGGGATCATGACCTGAGCTGAAGGCAGACGCTTAACTGCTTAACTGCCCGAGCCACCCAGGAGCTTCTCAATGTACGTTATTCTTCTAATGTACCTCCAGATTTGATTTTCTTGTGTTTTATGTAAATTTTTGCCTTAAACGTCACAGTGAGACAGATCTAGGTTTTATTTTGGGGGTTGTGTGGGAAAGAGTGCTTACTCAATTAGGTTGAACAGAATGAGGACCGTCAACCTGTTTCTTTTCCTTGCCCTTCCCCTTTTATAATGTTTTAGTTTTTAAATAAAAATGCAGTAAAACTGACATTTGGATGCACAGCTCTATGCATTTTAACACAGGTATAGATCCTTATAATCACACTGTCACCAGGACACATGACGTAGGTCTATCACTCTAAAAAAGTCCCCTGTGCTATCCTGTTCCAGGCACACCCTCCCCACCCTCCTCCCTGGTGACCCTGGATCTGGTCTCTGTCACTGTAACTTTGTCTGTTCAGAAGGTCCTACAGATGCGAACACATAGTGTGTAACCTTTCTGCTTTCTTTCGCTCAGCAACATGGCTTTGAAATTGAACTTCGCTGCGTACATCCATAGATCTTCTTTCCAGTACTAAGTCTCGGGCCATTGTACGGACCTTCTAGTGTCTGGTTATCTGTCTATTAAAGGATATTTGGGTTGTTCCCAGTTTGGGGCTATGATGAATACAGCTACTATAAATATTCTTGTCCAGGTTTCTGTATAAATTTTTATTTCTATAGGATAGTGGTTCTCCATCAGGAACTACTTTTGCTCCCCAGAGGACGGCCAGCTAGGTCTAGTAACATTTTCGGCTGTCACAACTGGGGATAGGGTTCTACTGGCATCTATTAGCAGGGATGTTGCTAAACCTCTTACAATGCACAGGAGACCCCCTACCCACCCTGCAACAAAGAATGATTCTGTCCCAGATGTCATAATGTTGTTCTTGAGACGCTGTGCTAGGTTCTTTAAGAAGGGATGATCCCTGCTCTAGATATTTCTTGACCAACATAGTAGCCACCTGTGGCTCCTGAAATGGAAGTTAGTTTAAATTACATAGAATTAAACGTTCTGTTCCTCAACTGCACCAACCATATTTCAAACACTCGACAGTCACATGTGGCTGGTGACTTTGGGGGACGCAGATACAAAACATGCCCAATGTTGCTCTAGACTACTCCAAGGGACAAGGGACTCCTCTGTGCTTTGACGGCTTGGCACAACTCAGCAATCTGGGTACAACATCTCTTTTGTAAATCTTTCTGGTTACCTGGTATATATTTTGGTGTTTAGAACATTTTTAGTTTTGAGTCAATTTTTGGTAGCTTCTATTTTCCTAGGAAGGCATGCATTTCATCACCACTTTACGTGGTGTCTTTTGATCTCCACCCTAACTGCTTTCCTTAGGACTGTGTTTGTGTATTTCCCCCCTGAATGTCTCAGAGCGGACCTCTGAGTTCAATTAATTTTGTACTTACTCCTTATTTAAATAATTAAAGCACGTAAGTCAGTCTGTCCTGCTCTTTATCTTCTTAACTCATTTATCTTCATGACCCTGGGATGCAGGTGCTAGGATTATCCCGGTTTTACAGATAAGGAAACAAAAGCACAGAGAGGTTAAGTAACTCACCCAAGGTCATACAGCTAAGAAGTAGCAGAACTGGCATTCAAACCCTTGCTACATCACTTCTCCTATACTATTGGAGGAAAGAAAACATTTTAAACATATTAAAAGAATGTAATAGCCAGAATTTATAAAAAGCTGCCATCCACCAAGAAGAGAAATATAAACAATCCTTTAGAAAAAGGGCAAATGATAAGAACAGGCTATTCATAGTGGAAGTGGAAGTGGAAACAGCCAATATACATATGAAAAGACGCCCAATTTACAAGTCCTCAAGGACCGGCAGGATAAAACGAGATAGGTTATTTCATCCAACAGTTGGGCAGATGGGAGTAAACGTGAAATCAACTAACTGGGCTGGGACGCTTTGTTGTCGTATGAAATCTGTCCTGCCTTTTTGAACGGCAACTTGGCAGCGTCCACCACCATGCATTTATTTATTTTTTAAAGATTGATTTATTTATCTGAGGGAGAGGGAGAACACAGGCAGGACCGGGAGGGACAAAGGGAGAGAATCTCAAGCTGACTACACACTGAGCTTGGAGCCTTAAGTGGGGCTCGATCTCACGATCCTAAGATCATGACCTTAGCCCAACCGACTGCATCCCCCAGGTGCCCCGTCCACCAATTAAACTGCACTTCCCGCTGGACCAGCCAGTTTCCCGTGGGCACACCGAAGCTGTCCCTAATCAGGCTCCCCGCGTGGCCACTGGCTGAGTCAAGGGCACGGTTTCCCAGCAAAGCCGTGCGGGATCCGCAGAGCACCCTGGGCAGCGGTTACCCTCCAGGCAGCACCCACACACGCTTCTCTCCCCACCTGGGAGCTGCCCGTGTTGTCCTTGCTCTTACTCGAGCCCCTTGTGCTCAGGGTACACTAGTTCTCATGAAAACTAAGCTGAAGGCTCTATGGCGCTACAAACCAAAATAAAAATCAAAGGGCTGTTGAGCAGAACAAGTGTAAATACAGGGGGAAGCCTCGTAAAGACCTATAAGGATTTCGTATCTTAGAGTCTTCCTAAATGTCTGAACCCCAAAACCAGATGGTGCATTATGACTATCCTTTCTCAGGAGAGATAAGCCGGACTTGGCGAGTCCTCTGGTCAGAAGCCAGGAGCCAAGAGAAGGCCAGCAGCACAAGTTTGCACTGCATTTTTAATTTTTAATTTAATTTAATTTACTGCACTGCACTTAAATAATGAAAACCTATTAACGAGTAGCTTAATTTTAAAACATTTACAAATAAAATGATACCTTTATCAATTTAAAGGATACCTTTAATAACACAAAACGACCCGTTCCCTTCGTTAACTTATCCCGGATTCCCCCCACAATATAATGGGTCTAGATTTCCAATCAGTTAGAGGATTTCTATCTTTCCATGGAGGATTCAAGCAGTTTACACTCATTACAACTGATACATTTGCTATTGACTCTGCCGCCTTACTTTACGCGATTTTTCAGGGGCTTTTTTACTGTTTGCTTTTATTACAAAGGCCCTGCTCTCTCTGCTTTTAGCCTTGTATATGTCACAGAAGGCATATACCATGTTTTAAGCTTACGGTTTATCTCTAAACTTTCCAAAGGACTTAAAATCTTTACGTCTCTAATTAGCAAGGTAAAAAAGAGGTATTCCTTCAGAAACTAGTCTTTTTCCCTTGTTCTGGGGACCAAAAAAAAAAAAAAAGATCTTGTAATGGTAATACTGTGTGAAGGAAGCCAGATACAAAACAGTATTGTCTAATTCCTCGTAAAGGAAAGTCAAGGTTAGGGGCGGCTGTCCTGTCACCAGCTGGGGGTGCCCCTTGGCAGGAGGGACGGACAACTGCACGGGGACTTCTAAATCCATGCATCTGGCACCTTCCACACAGTTGCTTTTCTCAGTTCGGCTCCCCCTGCCTCTGTGGAGATATGCCCCACATGCGTCTTTCCACTTGGGGGCAAATGGCTTCTTTGTGTCTCCTCCAGGGTTTTTGTACAAAACTAGGAGAAGCCACATTGGGAACAGGTGACTACACATTATTCCCTCAGATGTTTCATGAGAAACGCCTGACACAGCCATTTACAAATCCCTGCTCCCGAGTCCCAGGGAAGTCAAGTCGCCACGGATCCCTCCTGACCCTCCCAGACAGGAGGCATGCAGGCAGCTCTACACAAATCCAGCCACCCCACCCCCCCCAAGTCTTCCCCAACAGCCAACACTCGCACCCTGGTCAGCAGTAGCCTCAGTCCTGGTCGTGAGCAGTGGGCGCCGGTTACTCTGACTTTTAAATACAGGAGAGGAGCAAATGTTCCTATAGATGGCAGTGCAGGAGGGACGAGGGCAGAGAGGTGTTAAAGGAAGGCAGGACACCTGGGGCTAGAAGTTCGAGGACAGCTCTGAAGGGGTGTGTGAGTATGGGGGACAGGACATGGATGAGGACATGGCACTGAACCAAATCTCTTCATTTCCCGCTCTATCTCCGCTGTTGGAATTTCACGGGGAACATGCATGTGCACAGTCACCATTCCTCCCCACCGTTCTCTCCCTTCCCCTGGATCCGCGGCGCTCCCGCCGCTCTAGACCCAAGCAAACTATGCCCCATGGGAATGCGCACGCAGATTTCTGAGCTCCCCCTTTCCATTACTGTAACCTTCTCATGGATCATTCCTCCCGCTAGCAATAAACCGCTGGGCAACCCAGTGCTCTTGCCTCAGCTGAGCTGATGGGCAGGGTCCACCGGGACCATCGAGAGAAGCAGGGAAGTTCCGCACCATTTCTCTGGGTCCCCGTGCCCAGGTTTTACGGGCCTCCGGAAGAAAGCGCTGAATGTGAACCTCAGGGGACCGACTTCCTTCACAGGCTCCTTGAGCCGGCGTCACCGAGGGCCCCAGGCTCGCGTGTGCCCGCTGCAAACACTAGCAACTGGGCTGAGCTCCCTTACAAGGTAACGAGCTATTTTTTGTCGCCTGTAAAATAATGTGAATTTCCCTGTGCGTTCTGGAAGGCTAAACCTTGCCAGGAATTCTGGTGAGGCAGCGGGGGTGGGGGGGGGCGCCTCCCCTCCCAGAGGAAGCCTCGCCTCCGTTGGTTGGAACACCTGCCCCTTCTGAAGGGAGCTCCCACCCGGGGCAGCCCTTTACCTCCTGCAGTTTGATCTCCTCGGGCTGGAGGATTTCCAGCACCCCGCTGCTCTGGATCTCTGGGAGATCCTGCCAGAGGTTAAACCGTGAGTGGGGGTTACTGAGCAGGCAGATCTGGGGCAGAGCCTTCCTCTCGGGTGGGCTTGCTGGCTCGTCCTCCTCCTCTTCCTCCTCCTCGTCCTCATCCTCCTCTGGAGTCTCCTCGCTGGCTGGGGAGCCATGAGCGTTGGTGTGTATCTCTGCGTCCAGCTGCCTCCTGGTTTCAATTTCTTGGAGTGTCGATTTATCTCGGTATTCCTGATACAGGAGCCCTGAAATCAGATAGAGTTGTGATGAAGAAAAGGGAAAGATTTCAGGGGAAGATCTTTCCCACTCTCTAGGTCAAGATTTGGTGCTGCGCCTCTGAGAACAGAAAGCCTGGGTGGCTAGTGGTTAAAGCCTCTGCCTTTGGCTCAGGTCATGATCCCAGGGTCCTGGGATCGAGCCTCACATCGGGCTCTCTGCTCAGCAGGGAGCCTGCCTCCTCCCCTCTCTCTCTCTCTCTCTCTCTCTCTCTGCCTGCCTCTCTGCCTACTTGTGATCTGTCAAAAAAAAAAAAAAAAAAAAAAAAAAGCCAACCCCTCGCCTGGCCCAGTGAACTGCCACTGTCTTCTTTCTTGGGAATGATCAGCAGATGGAAGTTCTTTCCAACAAATAGAGAAATCCCTGAATGCATCCAGAATCCGGTCACACAAATATACACTTTCCCCACACATACTTGGCAAACTTGTTAGCAAGAATCTAGAACCTGATGTGTTAATAACCAGTGTGCACAGTTGACGGAAATGTCCTGATTATGTTTCGACGTCCCAACGGGATGCTTTCCCTAGCCTTAAATGCTTCAGTATTAAAATTCGAGTACGTTCATTTGTGAAATGGGAGTACTTGTAAATTCTCATTTTGAAGGAGAAACCAATAGTTCATCAGCCTTATGATTCAAAAGGGAAACATTCCTTTTTTGCTTTTACAGTTTCAAACTTACTTTCCTGACCAAATGTACTTAAAATAAATGCGTTCTAAGTCTCCAAGGAGACTTGGGGGTACATATGAATCAGCACAAATGTAGCATCTCCGGAGGGAAAACCCATTTCAGACATCCTGGTTTTGGGGTGGAGGGACTGCCTTTTCACAACAGAGAAGCCTCAGGGGCAAGCGGGGGGATCCAGGCCCAGGCAGTGGGGGAAGGGGAGCGGGGGGACCAGGTGGGAAGGGGGTCAGGCCCCTAAGGTCTTATCTGACTGCCATGCCACGGAGGTGGCAGTCTATCCCATGGGCAAGACGGAGGCCCCGAGAGACCTCAGACAAGCAGTTCTGGTCTCCATCTTTGGGTGGGTGTGGATAGGAAGAGAGATCCTGTGTTAATTCCCTAGGGGGTGATGATGGAGGGCTGAACAGCATGTGGGGGCGGGGGTGGGTGTGGAGGGATAGAGCCACGCGCCTGGTTCAGGGAACATGGTTATGGTAGAAGTCGGGTCCCAGGGACTGCCTGGTGCTGGGGGGTGGGGGGGTGGAGAGATCCAGGTACTCCCAAGGTGCCCCCAGCTGCAGAGGTCCAGCAGGCAGCTAGCTAAACATACCGGTTTGGACAGTAGTCGGGGCCCCTGGACATGTCTGCCTAAAAAAACAAAGATAATTTTCCTAGGAAAATTCTAATTGGGATAAATGTACCCTTTGTAAAGCACGTTCGCTTACAACGCAGTCCAAAGGTCAGCAACCCAACCGTTCCTTTCTTGCCTCCTTGTTGAATATATCTAAACAGGAGACAAAGGGAGAATAGAAAAACAGACTAGCTTTGATGTCCTGAATGTGGCCAGATCAACCGTATTCATGAACGGGAGCCCCCTAAATCTGCCCCGGGGCACTCATCAGTGGGCTTCCTGTGCTCCATAAACCAAATTATAAAGCCTTTATGGTAAGCACAGCATTTCCTTTAAAAAACTAAGATCCCGCGATTTTGCAATGTTTCAGTCCGGCAGAATACAACATGAAGGTAATCTGTTAAGTGCAATAATCCAGACTGAAGATCTATAAAGACAGAGGTTTAATACGACACAACCGTTGAGCTGATGGTGAACCAACTGTTCTCCTGTGATTCTGATCCTCAGTGTTTACAGAGGTTTAAAGAAACCAAGTTTCCCCGCATCGACTTGGATTCACTTTACAGTGTGAATGAGCCTCCCCCCTAGCAGGTATGCAAATATTTGTTGACTTGAACCCCTTTTAAAAATGCAGCTTCAGGGCACCTGGATGGCTCAGTGGAGAGAGCATCCACCTCTTGATCTCAGGGTCACATGTTCAAGCCCCACCTTGGGTGTGAAGCCTGCTTTAGGAAAAGGTGCTGTTTCTAAACTTCACCAAAGTGTCTAATTTGGCATCTTTTTGACGGTTCAAAAGTATGTCTTTTTTTTTTTTAAGATTTTATTTATTTATTTGACACAGAGAGATCACAAGTAGGCAGAGAGGCAGGCAGAGAGAGAGAGGGAGAAGGAAGCAGGCTCCCTGCTAAGCAGAGAGTCCGATGCAGGGCTCAATCCCAGGACCCTGAGATCATGACCTGAGCCAAAGGCAGAGGCCCAATGACTGAGCCACCCGGACACTCCTCAAAAATGTCTTAAACATGCTATCGTGGGCATATATCATGGGTAAATACTATCTCCAGCATCTCAGTGTGATCCATATGGTGACAAGAGACAAAAATATCAGCATTGAGCGTAGCCGGCTTGAAAATATTAATTCTGAAATCACACTGTGGCAGACACTGTTGACTGCCTCTCCTCTGTCCCCTCACACCCCGGGTTCCCAGTTTGCAGGGGAGGGGTTTTCTCCGGGCACTGACCCATTGGGTGCTCAGGGATGCGGGTGAACAATGACTGATCAAAAGTTACTGCGACACTGTATTGTACACCGGAAGCTAACATTACATTGTACGGTAACCACATGGAATTAAAATAAAAATACACAAAAAATAAACAAAAACTTTCTCCAAAGGGAAAACAGAAAACAAAAAACAAAACAAATGAACAAGAAAGAAACTGTTCTTTAGAGATCTTGCCATTGTCTCAGTAGCATAATGGCTTAGCCTTAGGGACTTCCTTGACAAGAGAAAAATCACAGAAATTAGGCTCAAGGTGTAGGAAATAAATGTTCACATCCAATATAAATTTCCCTTAAAATCTGGCCTCCTCTGCCCTGTAAGATTTACAGAGAGTACTTAGCCCTAATCTCTGGGTTCAAAGTGTACAGGTTGCTCACGTATATGCTGAAAGCCAGGAAATAAATTTTACAAAAGTACTTGGAAAAAACAACAACATACCATGATACTTCCCTCCCTCTTGCCAATGGTGTGTTTAGACATGAGCATGATAAAATCAGGCCAGGGAGAGTAAGGGGACATTTTACATCTTTGAGAAGGGCTTCTCAGGGTGCCTGCGTGGCTCAGTCTGTTAAGCATCTGACTCTTAGCTCAGGTCTTGATCTCAGGGCTGTAAGTTCAAGCCCCACATTGCGCTCCACACTGGGTGTGGAGAGAGAGAGAAGGGCTTCCCAAAAAGATGTCCCTCCTCAGTAGACACTTGAAGAAAAACCTTTCTTTCTTGCATTTACATGTGGCTGCTTGGGGATGTGATGCCTGGAGCTGTGGCAGCCATTTCGTGACATGAAGCACAAATGTGGAGAACAGTGGGGGATAAGGAGCTGGGTCACTGCTTGGCTGAATGAACCAATTCCAGAATTTTCTACCTCTAAATGAGAAAAAATACTGCCATAGTTTACAGTCAATTTTTGCTGGATATTCTGTTACTTTTAGCCAAAGATTCCCAATGCCAGTAATTTTAGAATTTTCTTAAAACTCTATACTTCTTTCTGAAGTATTTAGAATATGGATTTAAATACCAGTTTTCCTGGCATTACTGTGACTACAAAGAGTTATCTGACACACTGTGTAATCATTTTCCATAGCCTGTTTATTTTTATTGGTCTTGAATTTCAGACTAATACTTTACCCGAGGAACTAATACTTTAAACTTTATATACTTTATAAAGTATATTATTATATTAAATAGTATTATTTATATATTAGATATTAAATTATATATTAAATAAATACTTTAATACTTTAAACTAATACTTTACTAATAGCTTTACCTGAGGAACTACATGTTAGCTGATTAAAATTCTGTACTCACTGTTCTCTTAATATGTTTTTCTACCTTATATTTTGTACGTTCGGCAAGCACAACTTTATATGAAAATGAACTTGACCGGTGAAGTCTTGCACCTGGTATAGTACCTTCATGCAGATATACAAGGTCAAGTTCCCATCTTTCCTACTTAAAATGTTTTGTACCGCGCTGGCTGCGATGCCTTGCAGAAGAGGGTAAGTTCCCCAGCTCCTCTGGCCAAAGCCCCCGGAGTCACTAAAAAATCTCACTTTCTAAGGAGAATCATTTTTTTCTTTGAATCCCTCAAATGCAAGCTTGTAAAGGGTAGGGGAGTCATTTATTTTCTAGTGAGCACCTTCTATGTGCCAAGCAGTTATTAGGTCAGAGACAATAAGAGCGTGCATGTGCACACGAAACCCACAGCCGGGGCTCAAGGCCTGTGGTCTATAATGACAGTTGTGCACTGTCCCATCCCCATCTCCGTGGGAGGCCCTGCACACTCGAACACGGGGGTATGCAAACATGCCCGTACGTGTTTTCTGCTTTCTTCCCCTCTTCATTCTCCTGTGGTTGTAGGAATTGGTTCTTTCCGGATAACCTGACAAAGAATTCACTTCCTTCCTAGAGCTAAAGCAGGGAGGGCTGTTGTGGGACTCTGGCACCGGCCCCAAGTCTGTGACAAGGGAAGTGAGAAGGTGCGGACAGCTCTGGGCTGTCATCCGTCTATCACAGCTACCCAGCAACTACTCCGGGTTGAGCCCAGAAGCCCGGAAGAGATATTCACCAATCACACCAGCAGATACTGGAAGGGGGCAGTGGGAAAAAAGACTCAGAAGGTCAGTCTCTACGCTTGGCCACATGGGGGACATGACGGCTGGCATGAGTGCAGGTTGGAGCCCTGAGTCCCTGACTACCAGCTTCATTCCTGTGCTTGGAGCCTACCAAGACCAGCCGCCTCCAGGAGCCCTGTCTCCACATGCCCAACGCAGAGGGGAGCCTCTGGAGGCAGGGAGCTCTCCACCCACACTCCACGGCCTTCCCAGTTACGACACCGACGTGAGCCACACAAGATCCCTTTCAAGAGGTTGGAAGTCAAGGTTTTCAGCATCTGCCACGGCAGAGGTGGCTTTCCTCCCCACAGAGGACGATGCACCAGACAGGTGGGACAGAAAGGTTTTGAGGAGTCTCTGTCTTCAGCTCAGCCCCTCTCTGTTCCCCCAGCAAATAAAGGACAAATCTGCCACCATCACCACCGCCAGCCAGCCTGATACCAACGAAATTCCTGGAATCAGCACAGTGCTGTGTGCTCAGCCCACTTGGCTGTGCAAGGGGCTCAGCTCCCCTCGGGGTTCAGTTCGGAAATACCCTTCCAGGAAAGAACGGGCTGGCCCCAGAAGTCTCCCGAAGGCCGGATCCCCTGGGGCAACAGAAGCTCCACTTCCACTCAAGACAATTCCGTCCACCTGAACGTCTAGGGTAGAGGACAACAGTGATGTATTCAGGGAAGGGAATTTCCAAACCCAGAATTTTAATTCAATGAATATACCATCGGCTGCTCTGACAACACTGAAGAACAAAAAGATTTTCTAAGCAGCCGGTACCATTTCCCAAAGAATGGAACCCATGTTACCCATTCGCGGCCACCTCTGGTGACTGTGATGGGAACGAGTTGGATGTCATCATTAGCAATTTTTTATTTTTAAATCCAAGTGCTTAGGTTCTTGGGACACCTTCTCGATCCGATTTCTGCGTTCACACAGTCCTTTGGCCGCAGCTGTGCGGAAGGGGTACACACACAGGCTGGGCCCCACACCTCAGGCCCCATTCCTGGAAGAGCAGGTGAAACTAAGCTTGCCTTCCTAACCTAGGGGCCTCTTGGGCACCAGCCTCCTCTCTGCTTTACCCTTCCTTCCCCTGTGCCAAGTCCCCCAGGCCTCTTCCTGAGCCTGGGTCTCTGCGCAAACCATTCTCAAGACTTTGCTGTCTCTCCAGGTCTTCCCCAGGCCCCTCCCCCCGGGGGGGGGGGCTCAGGCAGCACCCTCTCCTGCAAGGTCCAGCAGCACCTCACCCCTGGCCTTTTGGGCAAAAATGCCAAAGGACAGAGGACCCTTCCCTAGGAAAGGGCTGGGCAGGTAGACCTGGCAGAGCAGGACAGAAACCCATCTGCTGAAGCCCAATTATGCAGCACTAGTGAAATGTGACGGTTTTGCCTATAGAACCATTTACAGCCAAATATGTCAAAAACCTTCCTCAGTCACATCAGCTACCTTTGCTCACGGAAATGCAAGGACATCCCGGGAGCAGGGGGCCCCTCAGAGTCCACCAGGAACCCGCATTTCCCCAGTGAGGGCCTGGGCCGCCAGGAACACCCACCTATTTGTTCGATGAGGTTTCTCCAGGAGTCGGCGGGAATGGGGTGGATCGTCTGCAGGGCCTCGGTGAGCGTGGTGGGGCTGTCGGCGAGCGCCGGGCACTCCTCGGGTGTGGCCCCATTTCCAGGGGTGGAGGACGACTCACTGCCAGAAAGAAGGCGGGGCACGGCTGGTTATTTTTAAGCAACGACGCACCTTGGCCAGCTCGCGAGTGGCGTCCGCACAAGGGGCCCCGGCCAACTGAACCCTACCCGGGACGGTCCAGGCCGAGCGGCCGCCTCCCCTCCAGGCCAGGCGGGCCCCACAGGCCCCTTCTGTCACCGCACCAGGGCGCAACCGGGTGATTCATTCCCACACCAGCCCGCCCCAAACCTTCATGTTTTCGGAGCTCGCGAGCAGGCGTCGGAAACTTGGCGTGCCCTGCCCGCTCCCTGGCGCCGACCGGCCGCCCCGACGGGTCCGGCGGTCGGGATCCCAGCCGGCGCTGCTCAGCCCGCGCCGTTCGCTGTCACACGACCCCGCGGCCCCCGACGCCCTGCAGGCTCCGATCCTCGCGTCCCAGGGCCACGCGGCGCAGGGAGGGGGCGCCGAGAGGAAAGCGCGCGGCCAGGGCGCCTCGGGAGAGGGCGCGGGAGGAGCCCGGGGACAGGAGATCCCGGCGTCGGCGGTCGGAGCCGGGGCGCACCCCTGACCCCCGGGCGCCCAGGCTGCACGATCCGCGCCCGGGTGGGAGTGGGGGGCGGCGGGGCCCGCGGAGGAGGGGGCGGGCGCTAGGCCGCGGGGGTCGGTGTCCCCCGCCGTGGGGGTGGGGGGAACGCAGAGGCGCGCGGGGGCGGCGCGCGGGGCTGCGACGGCCGCTCGTCCTCACCTGCCCGGCAGGTGTCCCGACGCCGAGTCGCGCGCGTCGCTCTCCGAGGTGGAGCTGTCGTGGTCCACGGCGCAGGCGGCACTGAAAGCTGCGGCCAGCAGCTCCATGGGGGCCGGCGGCCGGGAGGGCGCTGGGGCCGGATCGCGGGCCGTGCCGGGGGCTCGGAGCCGGGCCAGGGGCGACGAGTGGGCTCCAGAACCGGGTCGCACCGCGCGCCGCTAGAGCCGGAGCTGTCGCCGCCGCCGCCACCGCTGCCGAGCGCTCCCGCAGGCAGGCGGGCGGGCCGGCGGGCGCGCGCCTGGAGGCTCCGGGTTGCCACGGCAACGGGGGGAGGCGGGAAGGGTGCGCGCGCGGCGGGGGCGAGGCCGGGCGGCGGCGGGGCGGGAGAGCCCCGACTGGGCGCGACCTGGGCCCCGCGGGCGCCGACTGCAGACCGGACCTCCTTTCCCAGCCGCGGCCGCGCCCGGCCTTGGGAGAGGGGCAGGCGGGATGGGTGGGGGTCGGCGACCTGCGCCGTCACCTCCCGCCCTCTCTTCGTCCTCTGGCGTCCCCCAGCCACCAGCTCGCACCGCGAACTTGGAAGGTACGGGGCACGTGATTCCTGCCCCACGCCGCCTCGAACCTCCGCCCGGCCCACGCAGCGCATCCTCTGCTGCCCCCACAGGCACCGGCCGGGGGACCCCCGCCTCGGTGGAATGCGTCCTCACTAGAGGTGCCGCTGTCTAAAGGCGCCCGAGTTAGAGATTGGGGTCTTAGAGAGAACCTGCACTCCTCCTCCTGACAGAAACTATGGAGAGGGGGCCCGCTGGGGGCCTCTTCCCTGCGGGTCTGGTCGACCTCGGAGACCCTGAGGGCCTGGTGGCCGGGGCTGGGCCTGGAGGAGCGAGAAGAGGAGACACAAAGTGCCCCCAAACGTCCATCCGGTTTCCCTGCCTGGTCACATTGACGCTTGCCATCTGCACCTTTGAGTTAGCTAGTTCAGTCCACTTCTGGATACGCAAAACCAGCAAAAAAGGGTAACTGGAATCGAGTGGAATGTGAGTGATCCGGTGTGACAGGGAAATCTAGAGGGATTTTCATCCAGTAGGACGACTGGCCTAGTCCTTGGTGTCCTTGTCTGAAGTCAGCCTGCCTGCTGCCCCAGATGGGGCAGTGGAGTGTCCAGCAAAGTGGAAAATCCTCCTCTAAATAGTGTTGGGCACCTTCCATCCACTGGGCATTTAAATTAAATTAAATTCTTCCTTTTGGGATGCAAACATTTCTGGAGGGAGGGGCTTTAGTTACTGGGTGGTAAGTTGGCTCTTTTGGGTTCCTTAGCCAGCCATCTTGAACACTGATATTGTGGTAAAAGGGAGAGTTTGGGGGGGGAGGAAAGAAAGCAGCTGGAGGAGAGAGGCTTGTTGCCTGGAAGGGAACCGCTCCTCCCCAGACACTAGCAGGAGAATCCCCGTGGACCCTCCCCCAGTTCTGACTCAAGGAAAAGGGGCTCAGGTTGAATCCCAATCCCTAAAGCAGCTGCTTTGCCCTTGGTCGCTTCCTGGGGCCACAATGGACAGGTCTGATGTCTTGCTCCTAAGACCTCAGATTATTTGCATGACAACCACCTGGTCATTTTCCAAGCCTAAATCCTTCCTTCCTTGACTCATTCCACAGAGCCCAGACAACCCTTTCCTTAGCTCCACATTTTCATCTGCTCTCTGTCCATATTTGCTGGGATGTGTCCTACACATTCCACTAGGGCACACACATGTCCCCCGCTGCCCCCAGCAGCCAAGCAGGAAACCAGGCAGAACCCCAGAGCTGGCCTCAACCTTCTTCCTGTCATCCCAGAGCTCAGGGCCTTACTGAGCCCCCTGGATCCTTAAAGTCCTTCAAAGAAGTACCCTCCACCCCCCACCCCTTGCATTTGGACCTCTCCCAGTCCATCCTTTTCTCTGCCCCTTTTCTAAATTATCGGTCAGTGTTGGTCCCTTTCCTGCTTAGTAACCTGCATGGCAGTCCCATCACCACCGGCCCCTGGCACTGTACCAGGCTCTTCACCGGCAGGCCACTCCTTTTCGGTTTCCTCCGGGCTACTGCCTTTGCGGGCTTCTCTGAGGCTTTAGCTTCACCATGTACTTTCCCAGGCTCTGGGCTTTGCTGTTCCCTCTGCTAGATCTCAGCTCCCCTGGTCAAGTCCTCACTCCTGCAGGACAGGTTGTAGGTCAAGGCGCAGTGGGGTGGGAGGTAGCGTCCCCACCAGCCCCTTCCCCTGAATAACCAGCATTATCTGGCACTGTAATTCTTGGTGAACAGGCCATCCTTACAATAAGCCATGGGCCCCTCCAGGGTGGGCTCATCTTTCATCAGGGCCCAAGGACGAGCGCTGTGTGGACAGTCTCTAGGACCTACCTCTTTGGATGGTTTCCCCAGCCCTTAAATTTGAGGTAGCACTAAGTTAGAAGCTGTTACTTTCACACTTTGCTTCACCAAGGGGAGAAGATTTTGTGTGTGTGTGTGTGTTTAAATCAGAAAATACTCAAGTGAAATTACATATATTAAGATGAGAAAAATAAAACCTTCCAATTGAAAAAGAAGCTAAAAATATCCTTCTAATTATAAAATCGGTTTAGAAAGTCACTGATTTCTGAAGGCCTATAACTTTAAGCTAAATCCTGCACATTCTCTTTCCTGTCAGATTTAATGCTTATTGGGCTATTACTAAAAATCTCCGTTTTAACCAACATTTGTTCAGGATCATTCACAAAACAGATAGATCAATATTTCAAATATTTATACCTGATTAGCCTATGGTAGGTGCCCCATTCGATTTGCTAAGACATTAATGGTGTATTTTGAAAAATATTCAGTTATTTTATATTATGTGGCCTCAACATTCTTTATTGCTTCCTTTGGGTTATAATAGGGAAATATTGGAAATAAAGGGGATTCTTATTTATGTAGCAATCTCTGCTTTGAGGAGCCCTCATTTAGATTTACAAAGTGGTACTTTATTCTGAGGAAGAATAGGGAGAACCAGAGGAAATTTAGAAATGATCTCATCCAACGCTTTTGTTTTACAGAAAAAGCCGCTGAACCGGAGGGTTACAGTGACAAGCCCAAGATCACCCAGAGTTTTAAAGTGTATGCTGGTAAGTAGGCTGTATTGTGTGGGACAAAGGAACTGCAAATTTCTATTCACTTATGCTAAGTGTTTTTTAGGGTCATGTGGTCCATCACCGGGCTCTCAAATGTTAAGACACATTTGTATTTTTAAATCTAGTAGGAAATCAACTTGGACTTTTTTTTTTTTTTGGTAATAAAAGGATAATCCTTACGTATACATTAGAAACTCTAAGATATCCTTACATATACATTAGAAACGGGCTTGATAGCTTTTAATGAAATTACCTGTATCTTCTAAAACCATAAAGACAGTAGCTTATTTGTGTCCCTCTCCAAAGACTTTTTAGTTGCTTTGAAAATCAGCACTTTTAAGTCATGTAGGCAGGTCCAACAAGGGACTATAGCCTCAAGGTTAACTGAACCCCCGAAATTCAGGGAGAGAGTTAGGAAAAGGACAAGATGTACCTCTCTCACTGCAGGGCAGCTCCAAGATACCAGGAAATCCATACCTGATGGATAGAATTATTTCTCAGCAAGGAAACTTCCAGAAGTAGATTATTCTGTTGGGCGAATGGAAGTATTTTACTGGTGAGGTGGAGGTGGAGTTCTTGCCTTCCTTTTGATCATGAAGATAAATTGCAAATGTGGGGTTGTAAATGTTAAGGAAATAAGTTAAAAGCAATCAAGTTAGCTCTTTGGAGTGAAGAATTAACCTTATCCAAAGAGAGGTTTAGGCTTTGCCTTGGGCTCCTGGGAGGTGATCTCTACCACTGGAGTGAGTTATCTGATAAGAATGTCTCTGTATTTCTGGAGACCTGGGACCAGATAAGCAGGGCTATCGGCCAGGTGACAATAGCTCAGCCTCCGGGGTCCTGAAGACTGGTGACCGACCTGGTCTAGGTGACTGAGCCCCAAGGAAAACTCTGGACACCAAGACTCAGGTGAGCTTTCCTGGCTGTCACACATTGCTGCCCGGGGGTATGAGCTCTAGTCATAGCTCTGCTGGGGGAAGACAACTGGAATTCCAAGTAGAACTTTTCTGGATGTTTCTATCCTTTTCTGCCCATGCATCTCTTCCCTTGGCTGATTGAAATCCATAGCCTTTCGCGGATGAAGCTATAACTGTACGTATTTTAGCTCTCAGTGAGTTCTGAGTCCTTCCACCGAATTT